ACTCTCAATGGTACAATTTTTATGAGTAACATAGGGAATATATGTGTAGTCAATATTTCTTATGGCTGCAGCTTTTTGAAAAAATCAACTTCATATTAAAATTACTTATTAATTTGAAAATTCATTCTCAATTTCTTTTCCACTGTAAGTTACCTCAAATTAATGAGAAAAATTTTTATTGCTGCTGTCACACCCTCGCTGGGAATCAAACCCGGTACCTTCAACATTAGTCTCATAAATTAAACTTTGTCTCCGATTTACAAAAGGAAATGTTCTAAATATCTACTGAATGATATTTTTTATTAGTTTTCTAAATTACCTGTAGGTACCACATATTATGCATGAAGTGTCTTGACTTATCTAAGCTCAACTTTTATTTTATTAAATACATGAACCGAGATGTTTAGTCAGCTGATCGTGTTACATAATAATAATAATACTAATATCGTTATTACTAGCAACACTTTGTATTAGTCTGGACGTGTTACGGCTAATTTATATGCAGATGGAACTTTGAGATCGCATCTATTTGAAACCCAGCTACATTAGAATGCTTGAATCATTTTGATTTTATCTTCCGTAATAGTTAGTTGCTGTTGGAAGCGGTTGCGTAGGTGCTACAGGAACAAGCAGATACATATGCATATGTATTCATACGTATAACTACATATGCTTATAAATATTAAATTTGATGTCTCATTTTACGCAAACAACTCAATCTTGTTTCACACAAAAGAATTTGGCTACCTATTTAAGCACAATTTAAATCTTCACTTTCAAAAAATACAAGGGAAGATTTTTACTTTACTTTTAATAAAAAAGCAAAAATTTATTCCTATCAGAAAAAACTTCAACCAAAGAAGTTGGACTGTATATGCGTACGTATAAATAGAAGAACCATGCTCATCATCACCTCCTTGATTGAGAAGGTGTACTACCAACCTATCTCGCCTATTTTTTATTAACTATCATAGAGTACTCTGTTCTCCAGTTCTTTCTAATACCTCTTCATTTCTAACCTTCTCTATCCACGGTTTCCTCATCATTCGCCTGTAGCACCACATTTCGAACGCTTCTAACCTTTTCTTTTTCGTGCACACCGTCCATGTTTCGCACCAGTACAGCACCCACTACAAACTTATACTTTTAACAATCTTTTTAGAATTTCTAAATTAACCGTTCGCGACAATTGACTTCTTTTTATTGAGGGCGACTCAACCCTGCGCTATCCTCTGCTTTATATCCCTACTACTCCTTTCGTCCTGACTTATCTGACTTCCCCGATACTTAAACTCAACCACTTCTTCTAATTTTTCGTCTCCTATCTTTACGTTCGCTCTTTCCCTACTTTTTCTTCCCTTGCATACCAGTAGTTTTGTTTTATTTTTATTTATTTTCATACAGTACTGTTTTGTCAATACCGCTTCCATTTTATTTAATGCTATGTCTAACTAACTCCTCCTTNCTCCTTACTAAAATGCTAATACTGCTCCATCACCTGCAAATGTAAAGATACTAATCTATCCCTACAGTTGTACTGTCTTTAATGATGTTGATCGCGTCTTCGATGTATGTTATATGACAAAAAAATACAAAAAATTTTATGATTCATGTGTAATGTGAGGAGATAAGTTAATAAGAAATAGGCGAGATAGATTGGTAGGACACCTTCTGAGGCATGAGGGAAAAAGATGTAGACCTAAAACTCTAGTTTTGGGGAAATGCAAAAATTAGCTCAGGATAGGGTAGAGTGTGGAGGGGCCTGTACAATCAGTTTTAGGACCGACGAGCTTATGATGATGATGATGAACGTGTAAGTAAAAATGTATTTATTAAAATGGTAGGTAATAGACTAAGTTTTCGATTTTCTACTATAGAATTTTTCAATTGTTGCTGGACTAACCCCATACACCTTTATTGTAAATTACTTAATTTCCTATAAAAAGTGTAAGTGGAAAATAAAACAAAGAAGCAACAGAATGAAAAAGAAAACTATCAAGTTTGTTCCATATCTAACGATAAGCAAAACAGAGAACTAATTTAATCAACTTGTGCCAACAATTCAGTCCGTTCGTTTGGTAACGAATTACAAATGAAGCATTGTCGTATTGTTCAATGGAATATAGGAGAGGAGAAAGAGAAAGAAAAGAAGAACAACTAACGATAAGCAAGGAAAGTAAAATAAAGTAAAGCAAGGCAAATAGCAAATAACGATAGCAATGGCAAAAGAGTCGCTTGGTTGTGTCGTTTAGCACAGCACACAGTAGAGTCAGACGACAGCATCAGCAGCCCAGCAGCTAGTGGATGAAGGCAATCTGGAGTACGGATCATTTCCCCCATTAGTACGAGACTGGAATTTAATGTCTCCCGCCACGCAGTTGGTTCTAATGGGTTTGTTTTTCCCAGAACAATTTTCTCTATTTCGCATTTCCACTCGTTGGAGGCAACTCTTGCGTTTTAATTTTATTCACGGTCCTTTATGTCCGTTTTATATCGTAATTTAATTTCAACTGAATGACATTTTTCATTAGGAATTTTACGGCGAAAAAATAACTGGCCCAACCAAATTTAATTTTTTCCGACAGGATGATGATCGTCCAATGAATAATGCGACAGAAGTATTACAAAACATGTTAAATATGTATGCGGAAAAAAATTTTATAAGTACCTATATTTGGCAGGTACCTTTAGAATTTAGTACCTACCCAATACGTTACCTTTTTTTTTTAATTCACTTTTAGTACCCACATTTTTTTACAATCAGAACAGACCAACCTGCTTAAAATTAATTAATATAATCACAAATAATATTGTTTAATAACAAACAGCATTAATTTGCCTCTTATATACAAACTACAATTAGATTAAAGATAAAATACCTAATAAGTAGTTACACAGGTATTATTGTGAGTTTTAAAAATTATCTACCAATTTCTTAAACTACAATCGAGCATCGAGCAGACCGAATATTTTTTAATTACGTTAATATTGTTCCTACAACATACAGGTAGACACACGCTGGTTATCACTGTTTCTCAGTCTTACGAAATCAAATCAATTCGAATTAATTAACAAACTACCGGCCACAACTACATACAATAAACATTCACATGCATGGTCTATTTATTATGCCTCGGCTGTTAATGCGCTTAAACAACAATGATAATTGTTGTCATTGAATAGACTCACTTCGTTGTTGTAAAGTTTATTATTGTGTCAATTATCTGACTTTGGGTACTTTCAACAGTGAAACATATTGAAAAGAATTTTCTCTAATTAGTGACGACTTTATCGCTGTGGAGTGTGAATATCTACAAAAGAAAAGCTCCACGCATATTTCCTCTAATAATATGATTTGAATGAAACGAGGGTGACCACTACTTATTAGAAAAAGGTAGCAAATTTTGGTGACCTCTTCATATAATAATGATCTAATACCTACCCGTTATGAAAATAAAAAAGCACAAAGTATATATACATAGTTATACGAAAGCAGAAAAAGTACTTGTGAATATAGTATCAGCTATTATCTTATTTATAAAGGGAAAATAATTTACAGAAATCCCCTAAAATCCGTAGCATTTCCTTAAGTTTTCCTGGACTTCCTAAACGGTAAGCACTTCGTGAATTAGCTTAGCACTACCATACAAAAAAGATATTAAATGTATAAGTAATACAAATATTCAAGCTGACGCTTATTTTAGCGCATATTCTTGAAATAGATCATGAACTTACGATTAGCCACGGTGAAATTATTTTCGGTTAATATTATTTCGAAAATAGTACAATTATAAAACGTTATATATGAGTAGAATTGCAATTAAATGTACGCATTTCAAAATAAGCACATTGGAATGAGAGCAAAGTTTAGGAAGAAAAGTGTTACAGAAGGTAATATATATATCTCACGTTGCTATATGATACGACTGTTCTTGCGCTGTAAAATTAGAACACCATGACGCGAAATCCTATATTGGAAAATAAATGCAATCTACATATCTACATACATACACACGCAGATTGTGTAGATGTATTATAAGTTGTTGAATAAGCCATTAAAGGTATTATATGGCCAATGAGATGCACACACTTGTTATGTCAAGTGAATAAACACTCCACTACTCTCTATATTTACTCTGGTTCAATGCGCAAATAATATTAATTCTTACACGCCAATTCCATTTGAATATCAGCCGCGAATATCGGTTATAGCGGACATCGGGAAATAAGAAAACATTTTAGATTGAAAATAAAGAAATAATACAATGCCCAATTAATGTGGCTAAATAAAGACAAAAAGCCATTAAGAAAACAGGGAAATAGCTGCAAAATTCTATATTTAAATACTACGATCTTTTGGAAGTAAACTTTAAGTAAGACATTTGAATAACCGCGAATATCGGTTATAGCGGACATCGGGAAATAAGAAAACATTTTAGATTGAAAATAAAGAAATAATACAATGTCAAATTAATGTGGGTAAACAGAGGCCAAAAGCCATTACGGAAACGGGAAAATAGCTTTAAAATTCCAGATTTAAATACTACGATCTTTTGGATGTAAATTTTAAGTAAGACATGAAGAAAAATAAGAATCTAAACTATCATAATATATCAACTAAGCGAAAATTAAATAATTTGAAATCGTCCACTATAATTATTAAAGAACCACTAATTGCGAGCATTCTATATAAAGAATCAAACAAATAAACCTAAAACATATGAACAAATTAGACTACAAAAGCTTCTCAAAGTAGAAATCATATCAAAATTATACGTGAAAAACTGCACTATTTTGGAAGTACCCTTCCTGGGTGCGAATGATTTACTTGAACAGCCAACCACTAATAACGCATCAGTAGATAAATTGACGTTTCGACAAAAGTTTATTAGCTACCTGGATTACCGTCGGATCATTAAGAGTACCTACATCTGGATGAAAAAAATTATTGTTATTTGTATGAATAAAACTCCTTATTGTATAACTTCAATCTCGTATATTCACATTTTTCATTCCAATGACTAAAGGAAACACACTGTACATTGAAAAACTTAAATTTATATATACAAAGCAGTGATTCTCACATCATCATCTTCATTTTTTCCTTTTTTATTTTAAATTCTGATTAAACGGCTCATCACAGTTATCGTAATTTAAAAACAAATCTCTCGTCTTTTCACACAACAACAATTCAACAAAATACAAAAGTATAATAATGTTACGGCGGTTGAATCGATTTCGGGATTTGTTTTTACATAAATTGTACAATTTAAAATTTTGCCTGTTAAGCACTCGGTGATGACAATATTAAAATAGTTTTTAACAAAATTTTAAGGTTATTTAATAGAAATCCATAATCGACCAAACAAACAACTTCTTCTCTAGATTTTGCAGGAAATCTTGATCTGAATGCATTTATTTATAGGTACATGTGATTCAGTCTAAGGATTATGTGAGTGTATTTTGGTGAATTTAGAAAGTGACGACCGAAATTATTGAGCAAAACATTTCAAACATTTCACAGGCCGAAACGAACCGGGAAATGTTAAAAGCTAAAGGTATAAGAATCAACGAACGAAAGTGAATCGTCCATAATAATTAATCACTAATCATAATAATAATAATTTATGTACAAAGAGACGAATCAAGATGGTCTATTTACATGTGACGTATACAATAATTAACATTTGAAATGATTTTGTTAGCGAGATTTCATTTTGCAACTTGCGCGTCCAATGGTGCAGCAATTATACGATATTTTTGTCAGACAAAAAGAGGTAGTAGTAGGTGGGTAAAAGTCTTGTTATCAATACATACCTTCGTCACGTACTTGTTGCACTGACCTTGTTAATGAGTGTGAGATAAGATGCAAAATGAAATCCACCCGATAATATAAATATACAACGTTCGAATACTGAAAGTGGCTGAAGGAACCGAAAAAGCGTCGAGAATCGTAAACAAAAGCAATTTTCAAAAATCCCTATTTACAAAAAAAAACACTTCACAGGGGCGGCACATCTAAGTCCGGTGCCGCAAACAGCGGCTCTCACATGTGCGCTAACGGCGCCAAGGATCCAGGTCCTAGTGGATCGGGTGACGGGTTGTAGTGGTGCATCTGTTGACTCCCGTCGGGCGGCAGGTACATCGAGATCATTTGTCGCAGGTCACCTTGTTGTGGCGGTTGCTGTCCGTTGCCATATTCCCTTTTCACGCCGCCGGGAGTCGGGGTGTGAAGTCCCGAACTGGGTGACACCGGTTCGGACTTTATACTCGATCCTGATGGACTATGCGATGATCCTGTATGCTGCATACTATACGGAGATCCTGCACTGCTGGGCACGGTCGCACCGTAACCTCCGTAACTACCGTTCATGTAAGCACTATGCTGCATCTGTCCCATATCGTATCGGGCGTAATTTGCACCACTGTACGCTGTATGTTGTTGGTACGACGTCGGATCGGGCATCATGTACCCGTTGGGCATGTATCCGTTAGGCATTTGGTACATGTCTCTGGCCGCAGCCTGTTGTACCGCGGAAGCCGCCGACCTGGCCGATTCCGCACTCGGGATTAATCCGGTCGTACCCAAGGGATATTTGTCTTTTTTGAGCAGTGTCTTGGTTTTCCGCCTCGGCCTGTACTTGTAATCTGGATGCTCTTTCATGTGGACCGCTCGAAGCCTTTTGGCTTCATCGATGAACGGTCTCTTTTCCGATTCGCTGAGCAATTTCCATTCGGCCCCTAACCGTTTCGATATTTCCGAATTGTGCATCTTTGGATTTTCCTGGGCCATTTTTCGCCTTTGCCCCCTTGACCAAACCATGAAGGCGTTCATAGGCCTTTTCACCCTGTCCGAATTCTGAACTTTGCTGTTGTTGTTATTATTGTTGTTCGCTTGGGTGTTATGTTGGGGTTGGTGTTGGGACGTGTGATGTTGTTGTTGATGATGATTCTGAGACTGATGATGCATCTGCGGAGGTTGATGCAACTGATGCGGATGTTGAGACAGATGTTGCATGGGGCTTTGTCCCAGTGAACTTAACGATCCGTAAGACTGCAGGCCGTGATGAGGAGGCATAGTCCCGTGCAAACTACCTCCTTTGAGGTCCGTCTCCATGGTCAACATGTCTTCCGTCGGTGCAAACAGCTTGCCGGTTTTCACTAGCACGACACTAAACAATCACCTCTTTACACTACGACGTAACTTTAGGTTATGTTTGGAATCTTTACAAACTTGTCCTGCTATTCTTTCGCGTTCTCCCACCACGCTTTGATTGACAGAAACGCCTGCCATGATTGAACACGACCAATAGCCAACAACTACCCCCCCAAGTAACGCCCTGAATCCCTACTGTGCGCGACATACTGCGCACTAGAGGATTCTTATTAGGGGCATGATACCTTAAACGTATTATAACAACGGTATAGATATATTTTTTTATACGAATTGCTATTACCTAATTATTTATCTTGCAGGAAAATTTCACCTAAATTGTGAACAAATATTGTCAGGAAAATTAAATCGATAAATAGTTTTCTCAATGACACCCGGTTTTCCCGAGAGCTTTTGAAAGCTCGCAGAGCTTTGGGATTATTCGACGCAAATAACCTGACTATTCATATACTCTACTAGATTTCTTGGTCACTTTTTATGTAACACAGACAATAGACAGTTTTTATTGAAAAGATGCACTTTTAGGTAAACTTATACTACTGACAGTGTATTTATATTTTGAAGGCATATCTATAAATATTATAATATGCACAAAAACACGGAAACAAGTAATAAATAATAATAAATAATAAATTAAAAAAAAAAATAGTACCTCAAGGAAGCTGTGGTAAGGAAATAAAAATAATATTAAAGAAACTCGTCATTACTCCTGTGGACAGAAACAACGCGAAACTGCGCTAATTAGATAATTGTTTAAAAAAAAATTATACTACCTAATACTCAGTAGGCAAGCACATGCCACCCAGGTAAATAATAAAAAAAGAAATTTGATGTTTTGTGAAATTTAGAGAAATTTCTGTCATAAGATTTTTTTATAACCAATTTTAAATCTTTTCAAAAAGATGTTACAGAAAATATATGTATGTTGGAATTTTGTTTTATGTATCAAATTTTAAATATATTGATACCCTAAAAGTACTACAATAATCATTTTCGAATAAAACATAGTACTTCCCAAAATCATCTTAATTTTGCTATATTAGCAGAACGATTACAAATCATTTACCCATCTAACGTTTAACAGGAATAAGCAATTAAAAGTTAATTGCATTTCGTGATAAGCATAAGGCGAAATTAGGGCTCGCATAACTGTTGGAAAAACCACCAATTCCTCGGTATTATTATTATTATTTCTGTCAACACTCTCGTAAATGGGGTTCTAAATCAGTTGCATACACTCAAATACATACACATGCCTATCCACACATACAAGAGTTGGCAAGTCCATAAGCAAAGGGTTGATGCCAATTACAAGAACAATTACTTGAGATGGTATCTACAGACACATAAATATTGGAGACAATGAGGGCTTTCATCCTCCGACTAGGCTTTAGATTAGAACTTCTAGACGTCAGGTAGCTCGAAAACCCACTTTACCTATGCAACGAAGTACGTACTTGTAATAGGTAAGGTAGTTTGGAGTGCGATATTGGTCAATATTTAACAAAAACATTAGTTGCTTACCAACCTTCAAAAAGGAATTGTTTTATAGATGTATCTATATAATTATACATATCGTCTTAGGCAACATTTATTTCGGCTAAGTAGCTACTTTATTTTTTTTATTAGCGATATTTAAGCTAAAATAAAAATTAAGTAAAATACTCCTGAAGATGAACAAGAAGGTGAAATTTATTTGGAGTTTTTGCAATAATAAGTCAACCCAAAAGTTTTTTCACCGCAGGTTAAATTAAGTAAAAATTCATAAAGTTAAAAAGGGTTTTTGGTTAATCTATAGAAATAATAATGTTACTTATTTTAAGCACAGTGCAACTATTGAACTCTGTTACTATTGCTACCTGCTTTCAACTTCTAGGAAGGGAAAGATTACCTTGCTACTGGAATTACAAAATTTAAAACTCAGTTCCTGTTTAAGGTCTTGTTAAGCATCAGTCGTACTTAGAATATTATAGGTAAACCTACCTTCAAGGGTTAGCAGGTAGACAGTCGCAAGTGGCAGCTACTTTTAAGCAAATATTATGAAAATCGGTAAATACTTCTTAAAGAGAATGAGGATGAAGTCGAAAAAAAATTATAATATTTGGAAAGAACATGGAAGTCAATGTGAGCTATAACTATTCATTAAAATTTATTCACTAAAAAACGCAAAAACAGCGTATTTGCCATTAGTATACTACTACTAAAAATTGTCTGATTGTAATATCTTTACAATTTAGGTAAAGTGTTAATTGATTAAGCTTGACAGAAATTGTTGAAATTCTACTTCCAAATTAAAATAAGTGATGGATTGAGGATACGTGTAACCTTATGGGTGTAATCACCGGGTCGCTTTCTGATGATGGTCGGTTTGAGCGCGCTTGAGTGAGTAAAAGCAAAAAAAAAATGCATACGAGAGAAAATTATTAATTGAAAATGTAGAAAAACATATATCTAGGAGCTAGTTTAGCAAAATAAAAAATAAAATTCAAGGAATAATTGTAGAAAATACTATCGGGTTCCAACATAGAAAGACAAACTTCCCACTTGTGTATGACGATTTTCATCTATTGAGCAAACTTTCTACCATTTTATCCAATGTGTTGAAAACCAATAAGTCCATTACATTTTGGGGTTTATGATTTGATTAGTTACTAAAAAATTGCTGAGATTATAATTTCAGTCCACATCTTAATGAATTTCATAAGTACCTATTTACTATTTGTAGATATTGTATATAAACAACGTATCATATGAAATACAGGATAACATTCTCAAGAAAAATCTAAACTTTTATATAACGCAAGACATATGTATTCATCCACATGTAGTTACGAACCTACATAACCAATGTGTGCCTATGCATAGGTGGGCACATATTATGTAGCATAGGTAGGCACGGTTTCGTGGAGCAATTTTCCAGTTACATTAACGATGCATGTTCGTTTACATTCAGGGTCAACTCAAGTGTAATCTAGATCTAAAGCTCCACCGTTGACTGCACGGGGCCGTCTTTCACGTGTTCATTGAAAATGTATTAAAACCAAACACAGACCGCCACCGCACCGTGACAGAGAGAGCAAAGCAAATGCAAAGAGCGCGGACCCTCGGCCTCGGCCCCCGGGTCCCCAGTTCCGCAAAACCAACTTCGACCTACGACGTACGACCGTGCGCCCGCCGCACCCAACGGGCACGTCACATCAGCGAGCAAAGCGAGACCTGAGCGCCTTCGACCCCATGCATCTTTGATGACCGTTTCAACAATGCGGGGACCATGCACAATTTGCCATGTTGACACAGTTTTAAGCTCGAGTTCCCTCAACTTCCCCATTATTATTATTATTATTATTATTGTTATATAACGCAACTACGTATACCAGTAGCACCTACATGTACATGCTACAGAAACTAGCTCTCAAGGACTCGTGTCAACTCATCCTTTAGATAATGATAATAACAAACTACAGAGACAATTTATTTTATTCCATATGTTTTTAGACTAGTCAGGATATCTAGTCGGAAAGCCCTCGTAGAAAATCATACACGTACGTCTGCTCGATGACAGAGGATTAGAAATTAATTAAATTGAGTACGCTGAACGTGATCGATTGACTATTTTCATGATGAGAGACATAAATATGATTTTCAATAACTTTACCTATAATGTACCTATAATTAGATTACTGTTCGCAAATAGGATATGGGATGTTCTAGTTTAAGGGAAATGCGAAGATTAAGTCAGGATAGGAACAAGTGGAGGTGCGTGTCCAACCAGTTTTAAGACTGACGACCTTATGATGATGTTGATGGTGATAATCTACCTACAATACAATCACTATGACCTACTGTAATATGTTCATCAGCTGTCAATGTTAGAAGCAAAAAAGTGAATTTTTTTGTTGTTAACTTCTAATGTATGAAATTACTTCTAAGTAGTCACTTTACAGATTTTTTTGAATTTATACGCAATTACACACAATGTTAACAGCATTAATACCCGGCTATATTTATTACATTGGTACCTAATTTCAAAAGCTTATTACCTTCTATTATTTTGTGGGTAGGTACATCATCTTCTACATATTTTATTAACCTTTTACCTTTTGTATTTTCTAACAATATCCGTTAGTTGTTTAATAAATAACATCTACTTATTAACGTTACCTATAATTTGTTTAACAGTTATTCGCTATTTTCTTTCTTTTTCTTTTTTTTTGTACTTGTAGAAAATGGTTTTAAGACGATTATGCCGTCTTAAATAATGTTCAGTATTCAGTCTCATCTCGCTGAAGTACATAATACAAATACACACTCTTAGTAAACGTATATATATATTAGATACAGTTTACATAGGTAACTACCTACTTAGGATTAGTAAAAGTAGTGAAAAGAATTATGGCGATAATAAACGCCGATTATTCTAGCCAAAGACCGTACAGGATTTTGCAATGTTTAACGAGTGTAACAAGAAATATTAATTAATGTCAGATTCATGTTATTCTTCCTTAACGTGCGTCATAAATATGTTACCAATTCTCCTGATGCGTGTAGATACGTTAAGTACATGTAATTTGAAGCACGTGCACAAAAAAGTCCTGTCACAAATCCTGGCAGTTATCGTCAACTTTATGAGTGGTCTGTATATGACATACCTATTTATTATCCTTCAAATAGGTTTTAAACTGGACACTCCGAGGATGAGCCCAAAGATAAACGAATAATTTTATTAAAGGACGTGGAGACAAAAAAGTCCTGTCAAAGCGCTGATAACCTGATACCTAATCGTATTTTCTTTTAAATGAGTAGTCTATTTACGAAGTGCCTATCATGTCTCAAACGGGACACTCCAAGGATAACCTCAAAGGTGCACGAATAATTTTAATTAAGGACGTGGACACAAAAAAGTCCTGTCACAAAACGCTGATAACATATAATATAATTTAAGGACGTGGACACGAAACACTGACGTATGTAATTAAAACTTACATTCATTAACACCAAACGCATATAACTTTAAACAATCGAATTGCAATGGTGACCTATCGATCGCTGCATGATGCTCCGAAACAAAAGAGCGAAAAATTCCCGTGGAATTTCTGTTACCCGTTCCTTCTTAATTAGATTGTCGAATGGTTTAACGCACCCGGCTGTTGCGGCACAGTGCGGCGCGGCGGTCCAGCCCGGTCTTTGCTTTTTTTTTTTTTATTTTGTATTTATTAATCGTTCGATAAAAAGGCAAAGTGAAACGAATTTTTGAACTGTAAATCATTAGGCAACGTGTTGCGTATCAGAAATGATGGGAGAATTCTTCCGAGGCAATTTTTCATCTAGAAATATTACCGCCTGAAATATTAACACGAAAATAACCATTAATTTATGACTTATGGCTGGAAAAAATACCGTGACAAATTCAAGGTGTTAAAATGTACCGGAGGCCCGCAGGTCCAAGCCTAATGACTTTACATTGTTTCGCAAATCGTTCGAGAAGAGATAGGCATAAATAGACATACGTACATATATTTATTTCAACAAACCATTTGTTTTTAAAGTAGTATGTACTATCATTGTCATATTTTATTTTTAATTTCATACCCCTAAAAGAAACAATTATTAAACGTAGAAATTTTAAACTTATAAGTTATGAAAAAGCAGAGAACTTTATTACAACGTATTACTTATTTGATAAAGTTTAAAAAATCGTATAAGCAGTTTAAATATTTCCGAAAAATCTGCTTCTCTTTCACTGACGATGGCGACGTTACAAAAGTGAAGTGGTTTTTCGTAGACGTTTTGGCGACCTGACAAAACCTGCGATAGATTTATGGAACGACTCGGTCAGTGGCCTATGGTTCATGATAGTATACAGGACTAGATGCCTTTTTCTTGTCGACCCTCATAAAATAATAAAAACCGACTCAAACATATTTTACTACTCAGAAGTCCCGTAGTTTTGGTTTCTTCTTGGAACTTTAGTTTTTTAAAAAAGAACTCATAATCTTTTACACAAACTTTATTCCAAAAAAAAAACCCTTTGACAATTACTTACTAACAATACCCTATGGGCGGAAGTTAGTCGGACATTACAAGTCTTAAAAGTAAAAGTACAGTACAGGTGAAGATGCACCTGTATTTATAATTTAAATTGGCTGATACTGCAATCTGTGCGAAACACGCCATACCTCGCGTGGCGTGACATCTTGCGATGCGTGGCGTGATTCTGTTATGGGAACACGTGTTATCTTGGATAACTCCGTGTCATAATAAAATTTACGACAAAATACTTTTATTAAAAGTCTTGGAATCAAGACACCACTCACAGGATTATTTTTAATAATCTGGTCATTAAAGAAGTGGAATTTTAAATTCAAATATGTAATTAAGTTCTCATCAATTATCGAGAGACCATAACTAGACTATTACAATTAAACGCTTTTACTTTTTAAACACTAGAGGTTTCCTATTCACCTGATAATTTTAGCATTCGCCCTTAATTGTAATGCTCGCGATATGTCCAAAACGCCATACACACGCTTGTTATTGGAAAAAAAGTAGATAAGAAGCGCTCTTTGCTCATTTTGAAAGCGTCCGACGTCGTATAAGTTTCTGAGCGTCCATTATTGAAGTAGTGCCATCGTCATTTTCAACTATTACGTGCGACTTGAACGGAAATGATGTGTGTCAGAGGTTTCCGGCGGCTCCGGGCTCCGGGCACCGATTCCGGTGGTCGTCGGCTTGATAAGCTCATTCAAGTTCCGGAAACTCAAACTGTCCACCAGACGTTCGCTCGTACAACTTTAAAATCTGAAGATTCACCGATGTCCAACTTCGACATTTTCGATACCTCACCTCTTTGCACTTTGTTACTTTTCTCTCACATATTTTACCTTTACCTCAATCAACATAGCGGACGATAATTCGCAAACTGGTACGAACTTTTGAGATTTATTTCCTTATAGAAATTTAGAACGAAACCAACCGTTCTTGCAATTGCTACCGCTTCGTGTATTCTCATTTCGTACCTTCATTAAATATACGATACTACCTTTCTTCTCTCTTTTATTCTGGTTTCGCACCCTAAAGGTAAACTGTGCCTAATTAAAATAAAATGGGCCACATTTTTGTCTAATAAGTCTGTTCATTTCTTCAATGATAAGGTATTATCAGAATCCTTGTAGTGAAGAAGTGATTCAACTAGGTATCTATTTAAACATTCATTCAATTAAGTTGAAAATGATGAAACCAATAAAATGAACAAATAATAAAAGGGAAAAATAAGGATTCTTTTTTCTTGTCTCTCTTCGTCTCTTGAGTTTTAATTTTAATTTAAAATTTATGACAAAACTGATTACATAAAATTAATTACCACAGGGTGATTGCAAAAACTTTATACGGAATGTTATCAGAGCAGACATTTAGAGCTTTGTGTATCTTTCAAAATAACGTTATGACATAAAAAGAAAATCGACATCAAGGATTCCTAATTTTGGAAAAAATTTCTCAATCGTTAATAATATTGAGAAAAAAGTGACAATCGATACAAAATTTATTAAGGACCTATCTTGATGCTATTTCTTTGTAGAAACTTTTCAATAATGTGGAATATCTAATTAATCGGATTGATAGGTTAAAAAATTTGTTCTGTAAAATTGGCACAAAAAAAAGTCGTTCTCTTCATGTCACCCACATAATATGTACACACATACATACATATTAATGCTGTCATTAGCTGTGCGATAGCAAGAAGAAGAGAGACGTAGGTAATGTAGAGAGAGCACGAGCGAGAATTTGAGTAAGGTAGAAGAGAAGACTGATGATGGATGTTGGGGATTACGCGACGGGCTCTCGCGATGGATACGACTGTCATATTCCGATGATATATGAGTCCGCAGTTTACATAGCAAATACTGCGATGCATCCCCGAGTGACGCGGGCGTTATTTATGTCCGTCAACCTGTTATGTCCACTTTATTTACATTAATTTTCGATGCTGCGACAGCAACACCAACCTATACGTATGTATGATGTTACGAGTATTATATCTGACGCAGAGTTGCGGCTGTGTTAAAATTTTTAACGGACCGAGCGGACGCGTTCTTTCGGCCGGAAAGATAAGCGACAAAATTTTCCGAAATGAAAAATTCTACCCGAAAATTTATATTAAACGTAAATATCGGTTCACCGTCCAGGAAGGTATAACGTATGTGCTAAAAAGTAAACTGAACAGTAAAGTTATACTGGGATGATGAAAATATTTTGAAAAGGTTAGAAATATTTCGGTAGGTATTGGAAAATATAGGGCGCTATGGAAGTCAATAAGGAAAAGCAGAGGTAGGATGGTGGAATAGGTCCTGAGACATAAAGGGCTGGTGGGAAACAGAGACTGGAGTGAAGAGTAGCAATAGGAGATTAAAATATTGCTCGTAACTAAATTGGGATTTTTCAGTTTTCGGGAAATATGAAGATTTACACAGGATGGGAAGGACTGTATACATCTGTAAACAGTAGATTGTGTGTTGATACCTCTAAGCAGTGTTGACAGATGAGGCGACTTATCGCCATTTAGGCTACTTTTGACAAGGCTCGGCGACTAAAATGTTCTTGAAGGCGACGGGCGACTTTTGAAATGAAACAGTAGAATGAAATTTTTTTTTAAATTAAAAACTGAAAAATTTTATTCTAGTTTTAATGTACATATAGATGCACAGATCGAACTTTTAATTGTATATGTAATGTATTTAATTTTTAACATTTGAATCGATCGCGGCAATTTTGGGCGACTGGTCACCCTGCCTCTAAGTACACCAACTTTCTTTCCCCATACGTACACCATGCCGTTGAGGTGTACTACACTTTAACAGAGTGCATTACCATCCTGCACATACTCAGAAAATTTTGAAAGCTTCCTTTAGTAATTTACTTATGTAATTACTACAGTAGGTACGTACGTGCTACTGTTGTGTTAATTTGCTCTGACAATGACAACCTAATTACCCGTAAAAGTGATGGTTTTTTCAATCTAAAATTGCTCGAGTATACCTGCTCGGGTAATTCCCAAAAGCAGCCACCATCAAGGGCCCGCATTTTGTGCCTATTTATGACGGTTAGGTTCAGGTTTTAAATTACATACAACCGAAGTTCCGCTTGTTATTCTTATTACGTACAAAAACAATAATTACCCATTTCGTCCTGTCTCTAGTACTAATAAGACCGAAACAATCGCAAGTATTCTGCATCAAATTTCTCCAAGATGAAGAGTAACGCAAACAAACACCGAAAAAACTGACGACGACGAGGACAACAATAATATGATTCGAAAAACAAGAACGCAAGTATAAAAAAGTAGCTATATGCTTATATGAACAATTGCACTTACATTGGAGCAGTAGGAGCAGCAGTAGCAAGAGGACAAGATGTAACTTGAGATTCCCGACAAGTGTCTATTCTTGCGTTCGTTCGGTTGGGATGCTGCGGGCTCTCATCGATGTGATGTTGTAAACCGCTCCCGTTCGTCAGGTTGGGAACACGAGGAAGCCCCGCGGCCCGTGTTTCGACGCACATAATCATATCTCATCATAACAACGAACGAACGTTGACAAGAAGATATCTGTAACAAGAACAAAACCGTTTCAAACACATGAACATGCCTAAAGAGTTCGTAATATTAAATCACTTTATTCTACTATTTACTGATGGACTTTCAGGGATTCGTAAACTGCATCTACAGGTAAACAATAGCAATGTTAAAATAAATGTTTATAATCGAGGGCGTATATGATGAAGAAGAGGTCTAATAGTATTACAGACCTTGTAAGAAAGTCTGAAAGTTAAATATTTGTGGTAAACTATATTTATGGTTCTTATATTGATTCTCTTCACGGAATACATCAAACTTAACTATATAATATACAACTATAGGTAAGCTTCTTCGTTCTATATTCGCATCCGCCTTTGCACTTTCCTTGAGTTCCTTCATCCAGTCTGTGCCTTCTTTTGATCAATTCATTACTTAGATCTCGCTTAATTCTGCCCTGGTTGAACAATTCTCATTTAGATATATGTTGGCAAATTTGTTTTCCCAGTTTACATACTAGGCATGTCTTTTCTTCTTCATTCAGTCAAAGTTTCTCTTCTCCATTCATTGCACCATCTGCATCTTCCCTTTTACATCTAAATATTTTGGTTTTGTGTCAGTCATCTGTCTTCTGTTGTTTTTCGTCATCATCCTTACTTCCCTCTTGTTTGCACTAAACGTATTTCTTCATGTGTCTTTTCCCTTTGCTTTCAGTTGCTTCTCATTCTTATGAGCTTCATCCTCCTTCAGCCATTAATTCTTTCATTTATTTTCCCAACCATTTTTTACCATTCTTCTTCTGCATTTTTTTAGGATTTGATTTTCTCTGTCATTTTTTATTTTTTCTTGGTATTTTAGTGCTTTACATTCCGCCTCTATACAGATTGGTTCTGTCTTAGTCTCTTCCAAAAGAATGTACTTTGGTGTGATTTTCTCTAGGTCCAGAGATCCACCTTATATAGTTAGTCTGCAGATTCTCCAGTTTTTCTCTGGTTTGTCATCCCCAAATTTCAACTCCACACATAAAAAATTATTTTTAAGCAGAATATGAAACATTATCATTCATTATCAATTTCCCATACTTGTGTCATGATTTCTGCTGACTTCTTTGCAGCTTCTCTTGTAGGTACTAGTTAGTAGTATGTGAATGTATAGAATCGTAAACTTACGTATACAAAAAGAAAAATTGATTGTATTCAATAATAAAATCAATTTTCCACAATTAGAATACATAAAATTAATAGCTAACAATAAAAGTCTCTTTCGGTTCTTCTAGTTATAACAGACGCCGAATTTCTCCTAAATATGCACCTGCGCTTATTATAAGATAAGTAAGTACTTTACGAAAAGAGAAATGTACCGTGTAATGGGCAAATTTACGTGTGCAGTAATTTATATTCCATTAACGTTTTTATAATTATTATTATCTAAAATAGATTAAACGCTAAGTTCTTTTACGAAATACTTCATGGCTAAAAAATTTTACTATTAACCAGAAAATTATTAAATGTTAATATGTGAACCTAAATCTACTAAATAACTGTTTCTATTATATCGCGTATGAAATGGTAAAAACTACGTAATATAAAGTTCATATGTACAAAATACAATCTTTTAGTAGGTAATGTCCTGAACAGCGGCGGTTTTGTTCGTAACAATTGAGGAGCCATGTAAATATGTAGAACATTAACAAAAATGTTAAATTAAAAATGCTTTAAATTAAATTTTTCCTGTCTTATAATGACTGAACCAATTTCACATGAATAGGAAGTTACTTGAGGTAATCTAGACCATTTTTTTTTTAATTATTCATTGATTATATTAGTTAAGGATATAGGCTGTTCTAGTTTTAGGGAAATGCGAAGATTAACTCAGGATAGGAAAGAGTGGACGTACGTGTCCAACCAGTCTTAGGACTGACGACCTTATGATGATGATGATGATTATAACCAAACATATAAAAATAAAGTACATATATCTACAGTAATCAGATGAGTTGACACTATTAATTAGATATATTTTGCTCTACACGAATGTCGTAAAAACATCAGAAATTCAAACAGTACGTTTATTGTGACGAGCCGCTACTGAGTTTAATTCATTCCTCCCATTTCTGTTCACTGTTATAATAAAGAGTCCGCAATGATGTTTTATAATTATCTGAAACATCCCCATAAAAGCGGCGGCAAGTTAGTCTAGCAAAAAGAACTGGTTGTTACTTGGTTATTTAACCATGGCATTCCAATCTATGGAACTGTGTTTCCAGGCTCTCCTTCAAACATAATCTTTTAGCCCTTACGGTTGGTCAGCAAAACCATTTAGTCGGCCACGACCGTGAAATAATTCGATTTGGCAATCCCCGCGGTCCACTTACCTCTCTATGATATTTTACGTATGATAGGTATTATACCTAGGTCGAAAATTTCAGCGCACCAGACTAACGGGCCCCCTTTTCATTTCCCATGCACCCATTGTTATTTAGTTTGAGCAGGTAACATAAATAATGCATGTAGGGATGCTAAAAAGTATAGTTAGATTTTTGATAATTTGAATGTATATAAATACCCGCCACTTACTGTACAAATTAAAATGCAAAATAGAGAGAGCAAAGGGTTTGTAATGCATCATAAAATTTAAATGTCTTCTTATAGGAAATAAGTTAATCACAAGTAAAAAGTCAAAATCTAAATATGATAGGTGCTAGGCAAAGCTAAAATTGCAAAAAAGTTTAGGAAGTAGAAACACAAAGATCATTCTAAAAAGGGATTAAAGAGCATGTCAAGTTATAATACACTGGAATGATAATAATTTGTAACAAAACTAACGCAATCTCATCTCCATCGTAACATAACATTCTGAAATTGAACAAAGGACTATAAAATGGTACTTTTGAAGCTAGGCACTTCTTGAGATGCACGAATAATATGGTAACCTTGTTTTTAATGTTACCAGACATTTCTTGTAAGTTTTAGAGACTGCTTGCCGCTAGAGTGACCCTGTGGCCCTGTGCTCGTCCTTCTTCTTCTTCAGATGTTTAAGACGAAGCACACGGAGAAGGACGCAGAGGAGGAAGAAGAAGAGAAGTTGTTGAGTTCCCAGGTGCACATCAGATCACACATCTCGACGAGAAAATATGCCAGGTATACCTTCAATCTACCTACTGCCTACCAACCCAATGTAACCCACCAAGGGAGACAGCGGGGTACCGGATGATTGACAGCTCCGAAACGCGGCCTGCTTTGATGGATACCAGAAAAGCCATGCTCAACAACACAACAACGCATACCAACCAACGGACATTACGTGTATGGACGAAATCGGCTTCTAATGAACGTGCTGCTTGATGCTTGCTCCCAGGACGAACCGCAAGCTTGTATTTAATACTTTAAAAATAAATAAGAAGCAGTCTTGCTTATGACCCCCGATGAACGGGCTCATTAACTAACTTTTAACTTTTCTTTTTTTAAAAATAAAAAAACTGACGTGAGGTTAGAAAATAATCAAATTACAACTGTGGTCAACCCTATTAACCGTAAGGATAATCTCAGTATTTGAAATAACTTTAATATTTGATTGTATTTAAATATAGGAACCCTATGCAGTAGTAAATATATGAAATCCTATGACATTGTTAGTTACTTAATAGTGAATTAATATGCAATATTAATTTAGAATCATTTTTTCGATTTTTTTTCCCCATTACAAACTACCTCAAATTAATGAGGGAAAAATTGTTGCTGTTGTCACAACCTCGCCGGGAATCGAACCCGGATCCCTCATTAATTTGAGGTAGTTTGTAGTGGGAAAATAAAAAATCGAAAAAATGATTTCGAATTAATATTCCTATGGAGTAGGTTCCATATACAAAATAGAAATTTCGTAAAAAATGAAAACTGTTCTGTAATCTTCACCATTACTTTCAATTTGTTTGTAAGTAGTCAACCCGACATTGTCAATGTTCCTTTAAATCGGAAAAATATGTCAATTTTACAACACAGTTCTTCTTGGATCGCCCTTAATTGGAGTGTCAACTTACTCACTGAGAAAGTACAGCTGTCAATTTATATCAACTACCGTTTTATTAAGAATAGTACCTACAATAAGCATTCAACGTTCGCGTACGGTGAAACACAGGCGCGACATACAATTACTATCTTCGTCGACCAGTAACAATGGTATAAATTTCACACTTAACGCAAAAAAGATCGATTCGAATTGATCGCGCCGTTCCTTTATTATTGTAAGTGTTGTATAGAATTAGGTATACAACGGATAGGTACAATTCACATTCACACCTCTCTCTCTCTCTGACTATAGATAGTTTATAAGTGGCACCTTGCCGCTCCACAATGTGATAATAGGCTACCTGTTTAACTTTATTATTCATGTCTTTCGATCAAGTGCACAATCCATGGACAATACTGCCAACATTATCCATCCTTACAATAACGAAATGCCGAGGGCCCCCCATTATTCCTACCATAATAATAAAGAATGTATATACACAACGATTTTACACTCTTTGCTTTTTATTCAATGAGAATTTTAAATAGAATCTGCTACACGTTGGGTGGGTAGGTATAGGTACCCCTATTAAAGATGACAAATGTAAATATTAGGTAAGAAAGTAATTAGATCAGATTAGTGATTTCTGATTTTGATTTGTATAGCTAGTGATAAAGAAGAATTAAAATATTGACCATATGGATTTGGTCATTATAATAGGTAAACTGATGTTCACTGTTGTCAATAAGGTGATATGTCATTTTCAATTAATCAAACTATACCCGGGGCCAAGAAGACGATGTGTGATGTGTAGTTGAACTATTTAATATATAACGTTGCCATATTATATACCTAAGCTAATATGATTGCAAAACTGTCCATTGTGTTCGTTAATGGGAAATATACTGCTCGATAAACTGCGGGCCTGGCTGGGGTACGCGGCGAGGAATTCCGCTTCGACTTGTGCATATATACCTACAACTTTCAACGGGAATTATAATTATCATACCTATGTAAGAGATAACGCAATTTAATTATACGATA